TGCACAATTCAACGTAGATAAATGGATCAACGAGCTACACAAAACATAGCACCACGAAAAGTTCGTCTCATTGCAAAGGCTGCGTGATACCAATGAACTCGTTAAACCGGCTTTTTTAACCCCGTTGTTATCTTAATCTGTGCATCCTTTTGTCCAACATACATGGTCTTACAGACATCTAATGGAATCTGTGAGCAAGATGCTTTGCAGATCCCGAATGAAGTCCTTTTCGAGTTAGGGTTGCTAACTCTTCCTGACTAGGTAGATTTCACTGCTTTTGTAGTTGTGTGTTAATTCATTACTGAACTGGTGTTTGGGTCAGTTGTCAGCAGTAAGATTGGAAAATTAATTCCAGGGACAAATAAAAGTTATTGCAGAGTTATGGACTTCCAAGTGACGCCGAAGTTTCATAGAACATCATTTCCACAACGCGCTTTTAACAACGTATGCAGGTATCCAACGGAAGCACTGTGGTGACAGTTGATGTTAGTTCTGGCAACTGTGTATTTGTTGCGCAATACAGGTCGGTTGAGTTTCCCGTTTTGTGTTCCTTTTGGTTAGTCCTGTACATCTCGGATAAAAGACGTGGCGACCACGCAGTTAAGCTTTATCGATGGAAACATGCGCTGGCTCGTTATCGTCATTACGCTATCAAGTACGTCTGCACCTAATTCGGACGGGAAACACCACACACAATCCATCGATTTATAAAAGAGCCCTCAATCGGTACTTTCTCTTGTTGTTCCTTGCAATTAATTCCATAAGGTTGTTGGCATGTCTTGGTAAGAAACCTCGTATATTTCATTCTGCCAGATCTAATCGATGAGCGCATTTGTTAGAGGTAAGACACTTACTAACACAAGAACAGAATCTAGGAGGGATGAAGGCAGAGTATATAAGTAGATATTCAACGAAAAGAGACAGAGGAAACTGAGCTCCGCTTTTCTGAAACAGCGTTTATGTTCTGCAATTTTCGAAACTTCAATAGATCCGTCGAAGTCTTCAACCATTAACATGGCTAGAGTAGATGATCTTAGTAAGCCTGTTCGAAATTCCCAAATGATTTTATTTGATCAAAAGTCTGCTTTAACAGCCTAAGACTATTATCCGCTGACAGCGTTGGTTGGGTTGCGGGGTCTGTAATTTTACCATTTGTTTGTTTAATAACACAAACCAGCTCAACGCTGCACCTTTGTTGCTAAGCTCCAGTGGGTCTTCCCAACTTGCCCCACCCCAAAGCTTTGATCGCTTAATTCAAACAAGAGTAGTCCTGGATAATAATATACTTACTTGTTCAACGTCTGATGACTTTAGGGAAATTTCGGTACGGTACTAATTAACTCTGTTTCCGAATATATATGGGATGTTTCAGGACCCAGCTTAATGAGGTTTTCTTGTTACATTGTGCGAAGTTCCAATCCTACTCATTAATGCGTTTATTCTATTCTCTTCTATTCGGGTGCCAACATCAACACGTTGCTCACGGAGGTCTAGGAAAGTCTGATTGTGTCATTTTTGGGGGACCAATTTCGCAACAACATTTGGCCTTGTAAATACATTTTAATCCTGCAACATTGAGTTTTAGCTGCATTATCATATTTGCAGGGCAGATGGATGCTCAACGCTATATCCATAACAGCAAATGTACCTTCTTAGCCATTAGCCCGTGGATACGTTGTCAACCATCCAGCTTTTATCGATGCCCATGCTTTTCTGTCAAGTAGTCCTGCGCAGATGTTAATTAGTGTGTTTGAAATTGTAAAGACACGAATAATAATAAATCGCCCCATGCAAATACTTCTCACATGGTGGAGAGATCTAGAACTACCCTATCCCAACACTGCAGTTTTGGGAAAGAGCAGCATCGAAACTGTAGATTTCAGATGCGGTCCCAATGATCAAAATGGAAGAGTTTGCTGCGAAGAAGAACTTGAGATCCAATTGAAAATGCTTGTCACAGTCCAGACATACGGCAGGTACACAAAGACCCAACGGTGTTTTCACAAAGCAATTCAGATTAACAGCAAAGGACGCCTGCTTTTAACTGTTCATGAGATCTTCCATACTAGTTCAATTTGCTACAGGTATACCCAGTTAGATAGCCATCACATCTGAAAAACTAGAGGACCGTTACTTTGTACTATCAAGGGATGTAACATACACCACTTAGGATTCCCAAGAGGAATTTCTAGTCTATGCTAACGTTCTGATCTACTATAATTGCAACTACTTTAAATTTACTTTCCTAAATCCACTTGCCATTCCTTTGTACTTTATAATACAGTGTTTGTCCACGGCAATCTTCACCAACGCAAGAAGTGTGTTGAATACTGCCTCTTGAATACGTCAGGTTCTAACAATTTGATACCAACTCTCCTAGTCGGATGAACGAACGAGACTCAGAATTATTTCCTCGTACAGCACGGTAACTGACAATCTCGAAGTCTGTGGGTTCTCGGAACTTAGCCGCGAAAGATTTAATTCACGCGAGTCGAACGGGTTCCTAGACCGAACGCAAAGTTTCTACGCACGATTTCCCAACCCAAGACTGAATCAAGAACAAGACAGGACTTTTGCCACAGGCGCTTTTACTGGCCAAAGCTAAGGCGATTCTAGCGTTGTACAGCCTCATTTTTATATCACGAAAAGGTGATGAAGAGCGGTTTTCCCTTGGAAAGGTTTGCGTAAGCAAACCCTGGAAGCAAAAAGCATGGTTTTATGTAAATATGCAAAGTCCGCAAACTGAGCAGGAATGTTGTAAGTTTGGCGAGAGTTGTCCGGAAAATAAATGTTACTTGAATACAACAATGAGTGTTTGGTTGGAAACGAGACTGTTTCTGGGTACAAAGGCTAAACGAATGTGAATGTTTCACGAGTTGGAAGGCTGATTGAACGTGTGCGTTTTGTCTGATCCGAGTACATGTGCACTTGTGTGAATCGGGTTTTCAGCCTTCCGTAATTAAAGCCTTTAATAATTATAACTTTGGGTCCCCATAACAAAGTGGAAAAGCTTGAATAAGTGCTTACGTTTATCCCGTTATGTTTGGCGTCATATGGCCCCGGATTTGCCCGTCACTGTAGCCTCAAGAGGACAGCCACATGACGCTTGCGCTGCACCACCCGTAGCTCTATTCACGCAAATTCAGTGTAAACCCGAAGGAATAAGGCCGATGCATGTGGACGGGAACCACATTTCATCAACGGAGCCGGCCTACACTCTTCAACAAGCAGAGTAGAAGCATTCATGCCTAATTGGGGAATTCAGCTCATCAGACGTACACACGACGATGGCTAGGCCGTATCCCATTCCACCCTGAATGCATGGACCCCTCTCTGACCCTAGCACCCTTACGAGGACGGTGTACCCCGTCCTTTCAAGCAATGACAAGCTGTATCCTAGAGCCAGTATGGACGAAGTAGTGGGTAATACACAGGTAGGCACCTGGTCAACATTCATAACAAACGCAGCCACACCCGGGATATAAATTAACAAACAATCGCTGAAATGTAAGAAAGTCAACGCCCAGGCACACTTACAGATGAATCACAACTACCAGACAGCACACGTGCAACATCAGCAGCCTAATTGACCTGGGTTACTAAATGGAATAAATGCGGAAGCAGCGCACCTACCAGTCTCTGCGCTGCTTACGCTGAGATTATCAGTTGGCTCGTCCTCTTTTGGTTGCTGGCTCCAGGTGGCCACGCTGGTGGCTTACCAAACCCACCTGGTTCAGATACTCGCGACCTCACGTTTTACAGCACTATGCGTTCCACGTCGATGGCCTAGAACCCATCGACGCCTGTCGCTTCCGTACCCGGCGTTTCTCCTCCTCGAGCAAGAGTGCATTCTCCTGCACCTGAGCAATTGCCCTCTTGATGAGCTAACGCTGTTCGCGATGATCAACGACCTTTGATTCCAAACACCTGAAGTCAGCATTGGTGCGCTATAAATTTGGCTTGATCATGTCTTGGTAACGTAATTTCGGTTTTCCTACGTTTCGCTTCCCTGCACTAAGTTGGCCGTACAAAGCTGTTTGGGTATTTCCGTCGACTTCGTTCGGCTGATATGTCCGAGCCACCACAAGTGCCTCGGTAGAAGTATGCAATCCACTCCATACATGCACCTGTATACACGTCCTGCTATACTGTTTACGAAACGTATAATAATGTGTTGGGAAATTTGTCGCAAACCAAGGCACCGTTAATTGTCAGTGGTCATAAGTTAAGGACTTATAGTTACTTTTTCGCTGATAGGTATACAGCCTACACGTCGTCACTAGCAAAAGGTATTTATTTACGTTTAAATGCATCACCCAAGTAATAAATCTAAATCTCCGAAGAGCAGTATGCAGCTTACACTTGAACATGGCTCGGTCATGTCCTACGCATGGCACCTGAGCGTCTACCGCGTCGCGCTCTATTCGCTCGACAAGGACCTGGCTGGAAGCGACCGCGTGGTGGTCAGCCTTCCACTTGGCGGCAGCACATGAAATCGCTGACGTCGTGTCTAGCCGCTGTTGGACCCGTACGTCTTCCAGGATGGGGACCCAAAGATGGCGAGTGCCAATGGCTTAGGACACTTGAAGACATGGCCCGCAACCGGAATCAATGGAAGAATTGTGTACAGTGTTGTGTTGATTCACATGTTTAATTCTACAAAAATTGAAAATGACAAAAAAAGAGAAAAACCGGCGTGTGACAAACAAACTAAAAATGTTTTGTTCTGTATTTTTGTCAAAATATTCCATTTTCTTGCGGTATATTAGCTGAAGTGTGTTGCCCACCTTCAGCTAGCATGCCATGACGATTATGACGCAATGACTGTCTCTTATACACTGATTTCCATGGTTTTCTTGGCTCTATGTCTAGTTACTAGACTGTTGAGATTACATACATACACTTGAACACACAAATGTTTCCGTGTACAAACTCAAGCTTAATAATTACGTTCCAAATACTTACCGTATACCTCATATCCTCCTTCACTACATCCACAGTGACAAGGGAAGTGAAAGAGCGCCGACAGTTCCTCGATCAAATGCGTGTCATGGGAAAGGAACAGCAATATAAAAATCAAGTTGAAACCGAGATTTCCCAGGTAGGTTACAACCAACCAGTGACCTTACGAATTTAATCATTAACTGGTGGTTGATTTTTCTGTGTTTGGGTGTGGGGAGCAAGCCTATGAAGATATTACTTGCGCCACTGTCTGCAACGCAGCATCCATATATATATATATATATATATATATATATATATATATATATATATATATATTGTTGGCGGCATCCGGTTCCGAATTGGCCCGTCGCTGTGGCCTCCATGGAACAGCCACAGGGCGCCTGCGCCTACAGAGGGACCATGGGTGACTTGCGCTGCGTCACCCACAGCACCAACCATACACCCCATATCCAGTGTAAACCCGAAGGAATAAGACCGGGAGGCATGTGGACGGGCGCCACGTTTCATCAACGGAGATGCCCCACACTGCTTCACAGGTAAACACAAGCACAATATATTTGGGGAATAAAGCGCACACAAGGTAGCGGTAAAATCACAGTCCCTTCCACGCTGGATTGAGCCACTTTTGGAGCACGGCGACGATGACCGTGTACCCCGTTCTCTCCAGCTACCCCCAACTCTCCTCTGCGGCCAGTATGGACGAGCTAGTGACTAGTAGACAGGTAGGCCCCTTGTCCACATGTACACCAAGCGCAACCACACCGTGGATGTCAAGTGACAACCAAGCACCTAAAACGTCAATATTAAATAAAATAGATCGAAAAAAGCATACGGATAGGCCCACCTAACTCTTCGTTAAATTAGCAAATGAAATAAATGGGTTATCCACATATCCGCCATAAATTCAGGATGATAGCACAAAACGAGAAAAATTAAACAAAATTAATCACCTTTCGTTTAAACGTGTGCAGGTTGCTAGAAGATTATTCAGCTAGGCATTAAAATGAGGTAACGAAATAAACATGAAACAATATAGCAAAACCATCGCCTGAAATAAGGAAGCTAGCATCTCCCGAGTGAATCACGTGAACATTTTGTCCTGCGGTATAAGGCAGAACAACTCGGGCGCCGACTTCAGTCTTGAGGGAAGTAGGTAGAGGTCACGGGACGTAAATCGACACTTCTATTTTCAAAAGTTACCTGCAGGTGGATCACGGATGGAGGATTCATTCAGGAGGGTTGCACGCCGCATCTCACTGCACTAAGGATGCCACCTCGCATGGTGGTGAAAGGTTTGTGACAAAACCGCCAAGCTCGAAGAACAAATGAACAATTGAATCATCAACCCGAGGTACCAGTATTTCGAAACATTTTAATCTAGCATCCAAACACGCGTAAAGTGAATCGGATGGAAGCGCATGCAACGTACTTACCGCTCTTCGCCATTTCTGCTTGCGTTCTCAGCAGAACCCGTCATCGTATCGACACTGGTTCCGAGTGGCCCGGCTCGGGACTCACTAGACCTGCCTGACTCAGGCATGACGCTACGACACCATGCGCTCGAGACCGATGGAGTAATACCCATAGGCGCCCTTCGCTTCCGCACTATCCATTTCTTCTGCGCATGCAAGAGGGCTTTCTCTTGCATCTCAGCAACTGCCTTCGTGATCAGATAGCGACATGCACCCCGAGCAACCGCTTTCGATCCCCATGACCTGCAATCAATATTAGAACGTGATGGGCTCACATTGATCACGTCCTGGTAAAGAAGTCTCCGCTTCCCCACATGCAGATACCCCACACGCAGTTGATCAAATAACAGCTGCTTCGGTATCCGCGTCGAATCCATATGGCTCACATGACCGAGACTTCTCAAGTGTCACAGCAACGGTATACAATCCACTGCATACTTTCCGCTTCAGCGCGAAGTCTCCGTGACTGCAACCCTATTGCACTAACCGATGCGCAGAATCCGTTGGACACTCACACACTATACACGTTAGCTCGAGGTGGGAAACACCTTAGCAACTGTGCCTCAATACCTAAAAGAAAAGTGAGTAAAATGCAAAAGGTGCAAGCCAGCTGAGCTAGCGGTAACGGATGGGCATCGTTCCGGTAAGCTATCTGCCGGCTACTACGCAGCAGAAAAAATTGATTATGCAAACTTATAAAATACTAAATAATGAGATAGTGGTTGGAGGGGGAGGCTAAGGGGAATGGGGTGGGACAAAGAAACTCACAGTACGAACGCCAATGAGGTCAGCTCCTAGCCATATCAACAAGTGTATCCAGCCAAACTTGTTCATCGTATTTCCGACCCAAACCAGGGAGCCGAGTGGCTCCAACCGAGGCCAGCTCAGAAGTGAGGGCCTTCATTCCTCTCGACCAAGTCATCGATTGGCTACCTCTCCCATTCTTCCATCCTTGGCGCGCAAACAACGCACGTCGCGGGAGTCGGTGGGCTGGCATGCGTAACACGTGGCAGAGCCATCGGAGCCTAGTGCGTGAAATAACGGTGCTGAGCGGTTCATTTCCTTTTCCGTATCGTAAGCAAGGCGTCGAACCCGATCATTGCAGACACTGTTGATGAACCCATGCGAGATAGCGCACATCTCTCCGGTACATCAGCCATGTTTCACTGCCGTATAGGAGAGCGGACAGCACTATGGATTTGTACACCACCAGCTTTGTGCGAATGGTAAGCTGGTGGTTGTTACACACTCGGTACTCTAGCTTCCCGAATGCCGCCACTGCCTTCGATAGGCGGATACGAAGCTCACTGTGTATCTTCTAATCAGGTGAAACAAAACTCCCAAGGTAGCAGAAGCAGGAGGTGGTATCCGATACTTCATCACCGATGCTGATTCGCGACACCATTGCAGGTTACAGGTCCGGTGAAAGCTGTAAGAGACAGACAGTTTTGCTTGTGTTGATAGTGAGCCCGAACTTGGCCGCTGTCGAAGGCAGAGCACTATTCATGTGTTGCAACTCATCCCCGCTGTGTTCAATCAACGCACAGTCGTCAGCGAACTGCCGCATACGGATAGTTGTCTCACAGACTAGGGTTCTCGCAGCGAAAAGACGGATGTTCAACAACCCACCAACTATATATATATATATATATATATATATATATATATTTATATATGTATATATCAACCTCTAGGTGTAAGCATTGAGCTATTAAAAACCATGCAGTTAGAAATCGAGAAATACTTAGATATAGAAAGGTTAGAAAAACGGTAACAGTAATGAAGAAAACCAAGCAACATCAATATTTTTTCACACTCAATTTTGCATTCTGTTACGCAGTACTTTTGAAATCGGAAGAGTACTCATACCTGCTACATCGTTTCCGCTCCAACCGGTTTTACATCAGCACTTGGCGTGTTGTAATTTACCAGAAATTTTCATTTTGGTGTATCCAATCAACACTTTCTATAAGCATGTTATTATTTTCATGCTATTTCGCAAGATTGCCGAAGGTCTTCCACGTAGCCTCTGCAATGCGTCTTTGCGTGCCCAGTTAGAGACCAGTCTGTTAAATGGTCACTAAGAATGGGCAGGAAGTGACCAAACAATCTCAGTTAGTGTGACAACACAATCTCTCATATGTGAGGTCCATCTTACCGAAGGCACGGTGTCTGACATCATCACTGTTCAGTCGGCGTTGTCATCAGACACCGGCGACTCTCTACAAAGGCCGAAAACATGCGCATGCCACCTATACGAATCGACCAGGATTCACATCCATGCAACACTAGAGCGTAAACACAAGCATTGTGAACTCCTCCCTTTAATGAAAGCAAAATGTGACGTCTTAAATGTGACAATTTCGCAAAAACTGACAAATCTTGAGCATAAAAGTAACAATACTATCAACAGAAATGTAGTTTCGTAGGTAGAAAAATCTACTCACGAGTTCGCTTTGTATGGCATAAATGGCGAGCTGAGGAAGACGTGTCTGCAAATTATGTATTAGCAGGTTACGCTCGGAGAGGCAAGTCACATGCCACACAGAAGCATCAAGCACCAATCAATCAAGGATCAATTGCATATCATGAGAGTCGTCATTAAGTTTTGTGATATCATCAACGTCTTCATTTACTCCATTACCTGGAATCATTTGGATACCAAAATACTGCAACCCTTCTAAATCTTCGACGGAACATCATCGAGCTCAAAGTTGAAAAAGATGGGATATACCGCTGGAGACAGGGAAAATTTGATAAAGCTTGTTTTTGGCTCTTTCTTTCTGAAGTGTTGAGGTATAGCGCGCAAAGGATAGCTACGTACGTTTCGGAAACTCCGTTCATTAGACATTACAAAAAGCAGTTGGGTCTATTAGGTCAGATTCATCCCGAACGTCAGTAATTCAGCGGTAGGAAGCAGTAGAGGTGAAGATATTCGAGGAGCTGGAGAAGTGTGAACATTTGATCCTTACCTTCCTAGACGGGGGCGAAAACCAGCCGGCTCCTTTCGATAGGGTATCACACTAGTTGGGGATAGCCTGCGGAGCATGATGGATGCCAGTAACTTGTATACAACCGACGTCACATTGATCTCTCCATGACTAACGCATGAAGTATGTGAACCTATCATGAAGATTGTGACAATTACTTAACTACTCTAGAAGAGAGGATCTTTTCGTCTTGCCAGATCTTCAGGACCACGGACGTTAGCTGAGTGACAAATGCACTGCCGCAATATGTGAACGTGAATGGAGGACGTCTATAATTGCGCCCAGGCTTAAAGCTCTTTACTTGCGAATTTTAAGACAAATCTACGCTTCTTTGGGTGGTTCTAGTGACACTAACCATGGCATGAAAACTGGTGTGCTGGGTGCAAAGTTAGGCGGCCAGCAGCAGCTGAACAGAGATTAGAAATGCTCGGCCCATCCGTTCATACGTCCCTGCAACGATGATTTGCAACCCAACCGCCTCACAAATGACTTTGCTGAAACTAGATCTCTTGTGCTTGGTGATACAGACGTTGAGCGCGTCAAGATCATGCTACACTACCTAGCCTGTGGAGCTGCATTGTGCGCGCTAGTGCGTGAGTGTCCATCTCCCGACTAACCAGCGATGCTTACTGATTGGTTCAAAAGCGAGTGCTTAGCTAAAACATGTGAAGTGC